GTAAGCATATGTTCACAAAATTTGGCAGATTATCAGTAAACATTACAAGGCTTTCATGTGCAAAATTTCAGACTTTTTATTAAATCTAAAGGTTTGTTAAGCAAACAATTATAAAAATACATATGCTTCATAACATACAAAAATGTATATTATTTGTGCCTGTAATCCCTTCTTTTTTCTAAAGAATATGTGGATTTGGACACTATGCAAACTGTACTGGTTTTTCTCTTTATCATAGCAATAGTAATTACATTGCCATCATATTTGTGGCTGTAATGGTATAAATCAGTATGCTCAACACCGTTTTTGAATTTTTGTTGAATAAAATAAATCCTTCCAGTTAGTAAATGATACTCTGTGATAGTATTCACTAAAAAATCATGCTTTGCAATTTAGGTGTTTCACAGCACAAAACTCTTCTTTGTTATTAGGTAATACTTATGACAAAAGCATTAAATTATCCTTCTTTGTTAACTAAGGCATTCTGCACCATAAAAAACCTATTATTTTTTACTGGGCAGTTATTAAACATGCAGAATTTTACCAGGTATAAAACATTAATTCTTCCTTGTAATAATACCTTACACAGGAAAACACTTGGTACTATTTAACCCTGCTGATGACACTATGGTAAAAAAAAAACTCTTGGTAACATCAAAAAGAATAAATTTCCAACATATTAATCAATCCCTATATTGATATAGAGGTAAAAACTATTTCCAAAAAAGGTTATTGCACTTTATAATAACTATTTTCATGTGTTAATGCAGGAGGTGTGTGACTGCAGATGAAAGCTTTGACACCATAAGCAACATGTTTAGCACCTGGTTCATGATGAATTCCCAACTATTCAACTTGTATTGCTACTGCAGGTAGACTTATAGCTGAAGGAATGTGTCACTGCCTTTGCCAAGGAAGAATATTTATGTAGTAAAATTCATAAATGATGTTAGAGCCAACAGATACAAGATTTTGAAGCCAGACTTTCACAGTATTTAAAATAACAACAAACACCAAAATCAATCCCCAAGGCAATCAGAGGCAACACTTTCACCTGTGAAGTAGTTCCTAGGAAGCTGGGCATATTTCCTAGAACTATTAATATGATAATAAAAATATAGTGTGAGTTGACAGAAGCTCATATGGTAAAGTTCACAAGCTACTAGCTATATTTAAAAATTAATTGCCATTTTCATGAGAAAAGTGCTTGGAGAAAGTGATAACACTTCAATTCTATTAAAAAACAAATCTATTAAGTCCCTCACTTCAGCTCTAATGGACTATCATAATTGCTTAAACATGTTCTTTAACGTTGACATTTAATGTAGGATCTTCAGAGAATTTGTAAGTGTATATGATTTAAGACTGACTTTGCCTTTTTTTTGCAGAAGCTTTTTCAGTGAAAATTGTTGTGTCAGGGCAATATTGTGTAATTATAGCCATAATACTGATCATAATCAATGCTATAAGTGGTAACTCCCAGGGAGGCAAACCTGAAACATTATTCTCATGAAGTGTAATTAACTCCCAGCTTACATCACAAAGAAAATTCTTCTAACACAATACTCAATCCCTATATAAGAAATAACTAACATCAAAATGAATTTGTTTCTAATGTATTATTCAATCCCTATGACAATAGAGAGATAGAACAAAAAAGTACCTAAAACACATAAAATGAGAAGACATTCCTACCATATTATGAAATCTATTTGAAAAACAGAAGTTGTATCAACAGAAGGAGGATGTTCCTAACATAGTACTCATTCCCCACAAATATACAGAGGGTGGATATAAAACAACTAGTACACACATCAAAAGGTACTCAACTTCTATAATAAAACAGATGAAAAATACCCATCTTACACCATAATGACTACATTCCTAACATGTTACTCAGTCTCAATAATTATATCCTTTGTATACTTGAAAAGAAAAAAATTTCAAATAAAACTATTTAAATATAAAAATACAAGAGTGAAATAAGCTTTTAAGAATTATGTAGATACTGAACAATTTTGTTTGAAATGACAAATAAAAATTCTTAACTTACATACAGAATGGATATTTGAAATTAAAGTTTTAGGAGCAGAGCCCATATATCCATTTTTATAGACAAAGAAGTTATAACACTTTAAATTTTCATAGTCTTTCAGTAATATTCACATTACAAGATGTTAGTATTTTTGCTTTTTTAACATGAAGCTACACAGTATGCTATTTGCAGTCTATCCACTGCAGGGCATCAAATCCCTGATTTTAGCACTATACATCCATAAACTTACTGCTGACCCACTAGGAAACCAATTTAGTTTTAAAACGTCTAAAAAAATTCTGTGAATGAACAATTTTACTAACTACTTACAATGAATATTTAAGAGCATCATCCAGCTCCATAATAGCTGCTTGGTTACCACAACGATAGCAATAATTGGGTGCACTGAAAATTGTTACAACATTTCTATCATGGCACCAATTGTACCCCTATAAAAAAAAAAAATACAAAAAATAAATTATTAGTTCTTTAACTCTATAAGATAAAGGTGCATATAAAAAAACAACACAATAAAATTTGAGCTAAATAAATTTTGTACTTGTCTTTATTATTTACTTCTATCACAGTTTGCATAAATTCCATGTGTGTAAATTCCATACATATTAGTGATTAATAACCATAATACTAAAATGTGTACAAAATCTATATGTAACAAACAAAACTATAAGGGTACATAGTATGTCAAAATTTCACATGTATTATTAACAAATTGAATCAAAGACTACAGAATAGTTTGTTTTATATTACTTCAAACAGCCTATCTGTGCTATAAAGTTCAACTCAAGTAGTAATTATCCATAAATAAATATCTGGTAGTGAAATAATTCATTTGAACCTAGAATTATTTTTTCTAGCAGTTTCATTTTTAATTCATTGGCTAAAATCTTTTGGTAACTAACATATAGTTCTAAAGACTGTATCACAATAGATGAGGCAAATTTGTACGGTACCTACCTTGGGAGTGTGTATACTTAAAAATGACAATCTATCATGGTGAATTTAATGTTCAGTTCTCATGAAACATAGTTTATAAAATGTAAGAACAACTTTTCTCTACCTACCTCCATTACCAGCTGATGAGCTCTAGCTACAAGTGTTAAGCCATTTGTATGATTGAATGTCTCTGATATGTCTTGTCCAAAGGTGTACCCAGCACCACGTGGAGAGATACCCCAGCCCCCACGGTCATCAGGATCTGACCATAAAAGATCACACATTGGTCCCTAAAAACAGAGCAAAGCTAACTTCAGATGTACTGAAAAATGTAAAATCTATTAATTGCTAACGTGTTTGCTATTAAGTATGCTTTATAACACACAAAATACTACTGTAAGAGGAATCTTAAAAACAAAAATACTGAATATATTGTATAGATGTTTGATATTTTCAATCACTAAAAAAAAAAAAAAAAGGGGGGGGGGGGGGATAAAACAAAAAAAATATTTGCACATACACGGTCACATTTTCCATTACATTACAGCAGTATTTTACCCATCAGACAAATTAGCTGAGCAAAATCATTCTGACAAAAGTAAAAGGGTTAAAAGCTAAATCTTAAATTTCTCTCCAGTTGTTGTAGGTATATAAATATTAACTACACAACACAAAAAAATAAAAGCCATACAAAAAGTGTAAGTGCTTAGATAGACAATCTCTTGATCAGATATGCAAATAAGATAATGAGAAGTAATTAGCTACAGGTCCATCCATTCAAGCCACAAATACCATTCACTGGTCTCAATTTATACATTACCCTATAACAATGTAAAATATGCATTAGAAATCAGCAATAGTTTATTACTATCATTAAGTACTACTGCACTTAATGGTGGGGATCGTGATGAAACAAAATGCGGCCATAACAATTGCTCGTTTAAAACAATCTTTAAAATGTCTGAATATTAACAATGACTATTTCACTGTATTGGCTGAGCATAACAAACTTATTGTACTTATACAGCCACCTAAACTGCTATACATTTGTTTATGGAGTGAATCACTATTTCAATGAATTTTCATCTAAGTATGTAAGTGACAAGCATACAGAAAAAATGACAAACCTTATTGCTCTAATTCTTTCACAGAACTCTTCTGTCTGGGGTCCCCAATGGTTCCTTTCTTGTACCGAAAAGGATACTAAGATATACATACATAAAATGGACGATGCGCTACTTTTTTGAATTTTATAAAGAGAAGTAGAGATTGATATATACATAAACTAACTAGCTATGGTAATATAGAATGCTTTAATTCTACAAAAAGCATTGAAACAAGAAAGTCAAAACTACAAAAACTGAGTTACTTAAAATTAAAAAACATTAAAACTTTCTATATCACTATAGCTAGCTGGGTTACATATAAATTAATCCCTACTTATCTTTATAAAATTACAATTTTTTTTATTATACTTGTTTGTTTCCTTTTTATTATCTATGTTTTTGTGTACCAGCAATACCAAACATGAGGTGCACTCTACCCAATTCAATTCTACTCATCAGGACCTCTACCAACCTACCCTCAAATCTAATTATACGCCCAAAGTAATGCATTGTCTGTTTCATATATAGATGTATACTAGTATCCTTTTGAGTACAAGAAAGGAATATTTAGGGACCCCAGACATAAAAGTTC